GCATTTAACTGACACTGCAGTGAGACACTATGGGATATATTACTGCATTTAAAAGAAGAATAAAGTGTTAAATGTAACAAAAATATGTTTTTTTCTTGTGTTTCATTTCAGATGTGGAAGTTATAACTTGGCGATATTTAATACAGAATAAAAGTCATATACAAGTATCAACCCTGGTAAAGATAGAATAGAATAAACAGATTTATGAATTAATGACAAATGATGCCAGTGTTGTGTGTGTGTTCTTACCGGCTTGTTGGAACATGACCATGGTTTGTGGCGTGGTGTGAACTGGCAGGGACCGGGTCCTCTGCACGGAGCTGTGGGTCCGGCTGGGCATGCTGTTGCTTCCTCCGGGGTTGGCAAACCACAGACCCTGAGGAGGATATTTGAACAAAAGACATTATATTAACTTCTCAAACACCTTTGGAGAATAAGTGTAAAAGTTATGGTTAAAAAAAACACACATGTTACAGTCTCATCTGTCCATCACATTTAATGGAAACCTGTTTTTGGTTTTTGGGGATGTTGTGAGATTTAAAACATTCATATAGCAGCAAACTACTATTTGCTGTTTTTCTCATCCTTGTCTGTGAATTAGGGGAAGACGAACAAAGACAGTTTGTATGAGTTTTATTTGGTTTCTGTCCAGTTTTGAGAGTTTTTTTAAAAAGTATGTGCAAAATGACTGGTTTTGTCAATGGAGTCTGGCCAGCTGCACCTTTAGCATAGAAACTGTGCTTGGATAACTCTTGTCAGGATAAGGATATAACAGGTTATCTGAAGGTGTCACCAATACTGTTTTTGACACTTTTGAACCTAAAACTTACATTAAAAGGACTTATAAACATATAGAATATACATTTTGTGTTGGAAAATAGAAATAATGTATAAATATTTACATCTGGGGTGCATGGTGTTTGTTGAATCCTTGTGGCACAAATCAAGTGAAACCCAACATAGCTTTGAGCATATGCTGCATTTAGACTTTATTTATATGTTTTTTTAATTAGAAGCATACAACACTAGTCCACCAGGATGCCCCAACTTCAGTCCTTCTAATCACCTGTGGATAACCTGGTTAAGATTATACTATTAAATATAATTAGATTCACAAATCCCCAAGCTCTGACTTTACACATCACTGCACTGCTTTTCACACATCGCTGTAACTTTCACTGATCAAAGAGGTTTATGAAAATGTTGCAAGCTTGAAAGAAGTCGGGTGTAAGATCAAGGCCACAGCCCCCCCCACCCCACACGCTCCTGTCTGGATGTCTAGCCCACACCTAATGACAGTCTCAGACGCTCACCACATGAATTCCTCGCTGTAACCTGCCTATTATACCCCCAACACCACTACCACATGCCCCTCCCCTCACCTCTTTCCCTCTGCCCCCCCCTCGCGGCCCTCCACTGCCACGGGCCAGGGAAAAACAGGAAATGCCTGTGCACTGTTCTCACTGCCTCTGACTGGCTCTCTCTCTCTCATACACACTCATACAAACTCACCCTCTCTCTCGGTTTGCCCCTCCTCCTCCAACACCACAGCTACCTCTCCCAAACTATGACTCACATATTTCCCTCCCACCCTCCTTCTCCTTTCCTCTCTCTCTCTCTACACATCCACACGACAGTCCCACACAAGAAGGTCCAGCGTGAGTAGGAGGAACTGAGATATTTCCTCCCATTGTAAGAGATGAGAGAGAGAGAGAGAGAGAGAGGGAGAGAGAGAGGTTCCCAATGAACTGGGTCAGCCCAGACCAAAGTGTGCCAGGATGGGCCTGAAACAGCTCCACAGCTCCTCCTGTTTCAGTGTTCAGCACTGACGCAGGGGCTCTGGTATGTGGGGTGACCGGCCTACGAGTTCCATCCACCTAACTTCATTCGCCAAACACTGCCCCCGCCAGCGCTGCTCCTCTTCCTCACCCCGCATTTTTTTGTCATGGAATAAAAAGTCTATTTCAGGCAGAATACGTGCTGAAGAAGGAATTTTGCTGCCCAGGTTATTGTAAACATCCTGGAATGTATTATTACACATCTCAAAATGTTCCTCTGTACAGTCACGAACACCCCCGGCATTCAGTCACTGCGTACACACATGATAATACCATGAGTACGGCTCTTATGTGTTAGACAACTTTAATTCACATTTTGGTAAACAATCGGAGCTGTATCTCCTCATCTGACCTCTTGCACCACATCGACTGATGCTGGATTAAGTAATCACACACTAAAGATCACAACTCTGTGCGGAGGTGAATCAAAACATACATCTTTAAACAGGGGCTGAAGGGATTCATCTATTAATTGATTCATAGTTTATTTATTAGACAGTTGCTGGCTATTTTCCAACATTTAATAATGTAAATGATTAATCCATTATCAGAATCAGAATCAGAAATACTTATTGATCCCAAGGGGGAAATTTGTTGAATAGTACAAATATACAATATCTAATTCAATATATAGAACAGAAATGAATGTATAGATATGTACATATAATATAATAAGAACCTAAGAGATATAATAAGATAATAAGAGCCTATATACAAATTAAATGTAAATC